ATAATTGAATTTTAATAGAAACATGACATTTAGGCATTATTTATAACTTACATTAGTTTACTCAAAATATTGGACATACTGAAATATCACAAACTTCAATTTTCCATACAAAGAAAAACATTTTTCCTTTACCAGATCACAAAACATGCTCTAACACACATGGTTAATATACTCTTCTACACATATATCTTTTAAACACCATGCCTTTTCTCTTGTACCTATTGATAAAATGCCATTTCCTTTAAAAATCTCCGCAATTCTCTTCATATGTCTACTGAGAGAGAAAACCAAAGCAATACCTATGCTTTATCTATTTACATCTTTATTACATTATAAATATACAGTTTGTCTCCTCCACATGGTCTACACCTTCATCTTAACCACTAATAAACTATGAGTGAATAAGCATCCACTATGTACTTAAGAGCGTTAAATCCCTTACATTTTCAGTTCCTTATTTACAGCTGAAAATAACAACAGCCACAGTAAATGGCTATGAGGTGTATATATAACATACCCCCTATTCTTTGAAACAGAAATATTTCTAAAAAAATATATATAGGGATAATTAATCATAAACCAAGATCAATATCACTGACAAATAAAAGAAAGGAGAAAATAATGCCAACATCATTTTAACCTAAATGGAAATGGATGATAATGAATTTCACCCAAAAAAAAGCTTGGACACCTAGAACCACAATAAGTCAAAAACTGCTGTAGGAAAGGTGAGGTCAAGACAAAGAAGAAAAAGACAACAACAGCTTAATCAAAGAAGTGAGAAGTACATAAAAAAAAAAAAAAAAAAAAAAAAAAAAATGAGAGGGGGGCATAGTTTACAATGAGAAATGGAAAAGATAAATTGTTTAAAAATCATGATTTACCGATGCTTTCAACATTATTGTGAACTAATAAGCTGCATAGAAAAAGCAGTCTGCCTTCTTGGACAATAAATAAGTTACAAAACAAAGTATAAACCAAACATATAAATACAACAACCAGCCATATACAGAATAAGTATAATAACTGTATAAACATTAAAAAATAGTATTCTCTAGAACTATAGGTAATCACTTGAATGTATTTATGTATCTTCCTTAACAAATAACTCAATAGACTTATCTGAATAGTAAACATATGGATATATCAAACAAGTTTTGTATAATGAATAACTGAACAATCTATTCAACATATCAATATATCTCTATATACACAGAAATTGCTTTCTCAGCACACACCTTTAGAGAGACAGAAGAGTTCATAGTATTGTACATAGAGATTACAACATAATATAGAAATGTTAGAATCCAGAAGCATGTATGTATCATCTACTTGGTGAAAAATGGAAAAATAAGTAACAAAAATATAAGTGTGAACCACACACTTTCATAATACAAAATAATGTACATATATATCACTCACTCACTCACTCACTCACTCACTCACTCACACACACACACACAAAATATATAAATCTAAGTTTTCTGGTCAAATACAAATAAGTAACAGAAAACCTTCTAACAAATCAATCAAATGTCTCTTTATCAATCTATATATGTCTCCTGATGAAAATATTAGAACATGTCAGGTAAGTGCATACAAACACTAACAAAAGGTATATCAATATAATATTAACATAAGGACTTTAGAAAAAAAACTAATAGGACTAGTAATAGTATGAGGCCTTCAAATACCCATACGACAATACCAATTAAAAAGACTAATATCAATAAAAGGAGCTTCAGACCAATATGAAGACTGCAATATCAATATGAAGACACTGGTACCAAGCAATGTGAAGACTTTGATATTACTATAGAACCTGGGTAAAAAACATAGGTACACATTTAAAAAAATAATAATAATTAAAATAGCATGACTTGTTTTTCTTTTCTTACTGTAGCCATAGAATTAGGAGACAGTGGGGCTGGGGGGGATACAGCCCCCCCCGGTCTGATAAATGCTGGTTGAATTCGGGCAATTTTGGGCAGGGGCGTAGATAGGAAAATTCATAGAGGGGGCGAGAAATGAAGATTTGACACTAATTCTCATTTTTGATTATTTTGAACTTAACATAAGGCCACTAAAACTAAACGAAACAGAAAACCATTGTTATTTTTCCGACAAGTGCAGAAATTTTCCGACAAAATGGCAGTTTAACCTTATAGGTGGGTTTTTCGTCCCCCCCCCGACCCCCTCTATCTACGCCACTGGTGGCATTCATCACAAATTTTCTGGCAGGTGAAATTTCTCTTCCTCTTTCACTCAGGCAGAAAATTTGCAGCCCCCCCTAAATTTTAAATGCCCCTACACCGATGACTGTAGCTGTGTTATTTTATAGCCCTCAATACCGCCCCAAGAAATTTTTATGATTTTAATATATAGACTTGACTGCCATTCCAAATGTTCAAGCACATACATACCAGGATGCTAGAATAAAGACTAGGGTAGAAACTAGAACATCAGTACAAAAAGACAGCAATACCAATAGAAAATGCCATTAAAACTACTTCCACACCAACAGGAATACCAATCTTGACTTTCTTTTTGGTCCCATACGCACTGCACAGTCAAAAAAAAAAACATTCCCCTTCTCACAAGAAAACTAAAGAAGCAATAACAACAAAAATTTGCACATTTCACTAGCAAAGACCAGTGAATTCACAGTTGAGGCACAGCGCATTTTTTCCGAAGTTCTCTCGTGTTTTCTCTTTGACAGATAAATCCTATTTTATTTTTGTTCAGGACAATACATTAGCAGTTTGTTTTCTTTCAGCATCAAGAGCTCAACCAAATAGTATTAAATAGGTAGGAAAAACCATTGGTGTACAGATAATGTCACAGTAAGAAAATACCAGAATTTAGAATTTCATAAAAATAATAATAAAAACAACAACAATAACAATAATATACGAAGAACAACAGCCACCATCATTTGTGAATGATAATGATAATGATGATGATAATAATGATATGAATTGTATTACTAATGTTGATTGTGAAACTGAAAATGATAGCAATGATGGTGATACTAATCACTTTGAGAGTAATCTTAATATTAATAATAATGACAGTCAGAATAAAGACTGAGATGAAAAAAATCAAAATGAGAGGGAAAAAAAGAAGAAAACAGAAGGTATCACTAACATATACAATTTCATAAATTCAAGCTGCTCATATTTCCATCAGATTCATGTAAAATGGAGAATATTCCATAACAATTTCATCACAACTTTATAGGTATACAAATATTCTATAAATATTTCTCAGCACATATACTGCCAAAACTTTCTGAGTAATGGATTAATCTCTCCTCTTAACTACATGTATAGTTATGCCAAATGTCAGAAGAACATGACTCTTCATTCATATTTGTATCATCTTCATGCAAGTGTATATATTATACATTGCAATCAGTTTTTTACGTTAATGTTTCAATAATGTAATAGACAATCAATTACAAAAAAAACATACTAATAACATAAAATCTGTTATTCTGACATAATTCAATAACATTTCATCTTTCCTGTATAATAACGTCATCAGTTAATTTGTGCATTATTTTTTGTACATAAATCTAATATACTTTGAGTTCTGTCATTTGAAAATTAGAAAAAAAATAAAAGAAACCTACTACTTCTCATCTTGTCCAAGATATAATGATAATACATTTTAATAATTCATCCATAAACATAACCATACAATATTTTATCCTTCAAATAATATGTCTGTCTGTCTTCCTGCATCAGTCCTATTTTACCAATTGTATCTAAATTTCTGAAAAGCTACAGGAGACTGTATTTCTGAAATCTCCTCACCTACAAGCCTGCCTAATTTCTTTTCTCAAGCATTTCAGAGCTTCACTCAGGCTGCTGAATGCTTGAGACGCCCGGTGCATTTTGAGCGTTTGGTATGCCAGACACACCGTCCTGAGTCCCCATTAGGTTCGACTGTATAATGCTAAGGGTGTGCGCTGAGAGAACCACAGGCCTGTCTGCAGAGGCAGATGCATTCTCAACATGTATGTTTGCATTGTTGTGTAGTTTCATGTGCCTGGCAACGTGGTATTTGTAAGCTGACCGGTAGTCACAGTTGGGACATTCATATGGCTTCTCCCCCGTGTGCGTTCGGAGGTGACGCTTGAGGATGGATTGGAACATGAAGGACTGTGGACAGTACGGGCAATGGTGTTGTGCGATGGTCTCCCTCGGGAAGAATCCCCCCGGCCCTCCGTTTGTCCCCTAGAACGAGAACAGCAAACGGTCAGAAAAACATCTCTCACTTAACGAAAGTATCCACTAGCTTCTTATGATTTATATTCTTTATTTCTTATTTTCTAATTCCTAGTTTTCTCTTCTCTTCTATCCCAGTTCTAAATTTAATCTAATAAATGGTCGTTCTCATGATATACAAAAATACTATTAATACGAACCTGTTGCCACTAAGATATTCAACTTCATTTTATGATCATGCTGTTTGCAATGTATGTATATGTATATATCTAACAGCTTTACACACAATATGAATATATGTATACATAGCATACAGTGGGAGAAATTAATAAAGAGAGAGATAAAGAGTCAGGTAAAATAACTGAAAGACAAAAGGGATAAGTAGATAAACAGTTGGAGATATACAGATGCACAAATAGATATTTTTCCAGCAATCTATTAGATAAGTAATATTTAACATGCAAACTTTTTAAAAAACTAAAAGAATAGAATAAATTTAACACCTTTTATCAAATGTTCCATATAAATGCATCTTCATTAAAAGTATTACACAATTCTAAATTCATCAACATTACATATATCAACTGTAATGTCACATGGCTTTCAAATGTTGTTATTGCGCGAGAAGTTAAGAACTTCACACTTATGAGCACTCCTTAACATCTCAAGTAGCAGTCATTTCCATAACTACCATTTGGCACCACAACTGCCCCATATCATTTACATCTACATCAGGTGAGTGACAGCTGTTATGTTACTGTTTATTTA